TTGACTTGGCAGGGATGCGGGGTTGCCAGGCATTAAAATATCGAAGTGCAGAAACCTCACAAGTAAGTATTCGATGTGTGGTTTTGTTTTCAATAAAGAATCCTTTTCGCGCCGAACCGCTTTTCTCTTGTGAAGACTAATTCTTTGAGGGTGGGGAATTTCGAAGTAAAGTAATTGGAAATGCTGTTTTTGTATGTTGCTTGTTCAATTGTTTTTTTTATTGTTGGATTTGCCTTTTTATGTGGCTTTTGCATTGTGTAATTGCTTTGTTGTTATTGTGTAAAACCATCAGAGATATGCTAAGTCCTTAACATAACCGTAGGGGAATCTTATCACCACATCCACATCAGTAAGACCCTCCACCTACCATGAGATCCCCGTCAGCAAGTCACTCCTACCATGTATTCCTGAACAACCAACAGTCACTCTCACTTCGCCCTGTTAGGCACCTTGCCCGTGCATCCCAACGTGTCTCGACTCTGAAACCAAACAAACACGTCGGGACGGACGGGTCGCGTCGCAAGCCGTCCGCCCTCCGACCCGCTGTCCCGACGCGACGGGTGTTCGAGGGTGCCCAGACCAGACGCCCAAAGCGTTTCTTCAGCCGATTGGGTGTGAAGAAACGGATCGACACCTGTGACTTTGGGAAGACATCGAATGAAAGCACCAAATCGCGGTTCCGCGAACAGGATGAATTCTGCCAAAGCCACTGGTGCTCACATACTGGTAGTTGTTCAAAAATGCAGTGGCCTGGGACCCCATCTGGTGTCCAAGCTTCATGTCAGATTGTTGGTTGTTTTTCGGTGCAGCATTGCAGCTTCTATAGGGTGTCCACTGGCCGAGTCCAGATTGTTTCTCGTACAGGCCAAGTCTCACTCACCAGGTTTCAAAGTGACCGAACTTGATGTCCCGGCTTGAGGTCACAAAACATCCCATAAAAGGTCGCTTAATTATTAAGAAACTTCAACATGTCACGAACGGAACGAGTTGGCCAAATGTTTCTCTGGGTCATCCCTATGTCATCCATCATTCACGAGACGCACCAGCCAAAGAATTCGGACCGGAAAAGAACACCGCAGGTTCCTCGGTGGTTTCAACTCGAGAAGATGAGTCATTGGGATTTTTCTCATCTCAAGTATACATTGGGTCTATCCTCATACCGATACCTGTAACAAAGGATGATGGTTAGGTTGCAGGCCTTGTTCAATATGGTAATGATTCTTTACTGACTGTTACAGGTAAGAACAGAACGGACAAACCCAAAGTATACAGGTCAACCCATCAACCGGACGATGCGGTGCTCCACTTTCATATACGCACATCAGATTGGAGATTCACATGCACACAAAAGAGGTTGAACATAGTAAATCTGTTCTTGGCCACATGGTGATCATCAATCTTGAAGAACTGGGGCCACCCTGGCAAAGCTTGGTGACGTTTAATGAGAAAAAACAAACAACGCATGTAGAATTAAACCTTTATGTTCACTTCTCGGGAGTCCTGCTAACATGCGCTGTTCTCCACAATGGTAACGGTGTGCATCCTCAAACAGGCAGAATGTAATCGGGGACTGTTTTGGAGGTTTCCAACCTTGTGAGAAGGTAAGGATGAGGTTGCAAAGAAACAAGGCACAACACCGCAAAAATTGATGGTTAACAACTTGAATTCAAGACATTCATGTTTGTTCTTTTGTTTATACGTCATCCACCTCAGAAGCACATGTAAAAAACCCTTCGTTGTAACGCAGCGGAGCGTCCGGACCGGACGAGAACTCGTCAAATTCGCCGTGAAACAACGGTGCCCAGCGCTCAGGAAGGGAGCGGACGTCAGTTCTGCCCTGCCCTAGACACCACAAGTTCTGCCAACAAAGTAAACAGCCTCCAAGGAGCTTTCTTAGGCATCTAAAGAAGAACCAAACACATCAACCAGAGCAGCAAGCAGCATGCCAGGATCCGTTATGGGAACTTCTCAGGTTCTATGCGACTGGACCCGACGTTTTGGCAACGGCTAATAACAGTATCGAACACATCACCATACCAAAAAGAAGGTAGGGCACTGGAACCCTAGGGCACTGAAGCTCCAGATGTCTACTAGGTGGATGACTAACTAAAACTAACACCTGGCCCAGTTGGGAGAAAAACGAGTGGCCCGGACCAGGTGTTCGGGATGTTCCGCCATGTCCACTTGGGTGCACACTACAGTGACTACAGACCTGGTGCACACCAAGCAGCGTTGATGCCCAGCGATTGCAGCAACTGCGTCGAAGCCGGGACACAGACTGTTCCGGGTCGATCATTGGCGTGTGATCGTGTGATGTCACCCATGATGAGCGATATGTAGACCCATCAATTGATTGCCCAACTGCAATTTTGGCTGAAAGAACTGCTCGTTCTAGGTACACTCCGAGTCATAGAACAATGGAAGTGGAAAAACTCTAAAATCTAACTTCTCCTTGTCCAAACTAGCAACACTCCCTCACCTGGTTCCTGAAATTGGCATTATGATCCCTGAAAGGGGGTATATTTTGTGATGTAATGCTATTGAACTCTTCAATATAGACTGTAAAATTTTTATATATAGATTGTAAACAATTGAAACTTGAGTGGGAGGGGGTGGACGAAAGGTAGGTCATTAAGTTCAACCTTCAAAAAGGTGAGAGAAGAGAGAGAAGAGAGAGATCCGTGGGATTTGACGAGCAGCAGCAGCAGCAGCAGCAACAGCAACAGCAACAGCAGCAGTAGCAGCAGCAGTAGCCAAATGACGAGGAGGGAGGAGAAGCTCGATACGAATCCAATCACACGAAGCCACGGTACCAGCGGTACCACTACAATTGAAGGACAATTCACCTGTCTCAGGGTGGAGTTGATCCACTAGAGGGCCCCCCCCATCAGGAAAAATAGACCGGCCTTTAACGAGCCCAAAGTCATGGCGTGTGGGAGGATCCTGCCCTGTAGCTAAAGCTAACTGAACTCAGGTAGCTGAAGCGGACCTTTCGTGATATCAAAACATATACATATTGATAATCTAGAAATATTCTGAAGTTATATTATACGTGAACCATGAAAGAACTATAGTTATATATAAAAATGATGATAGGATACAACATATTAAGTAAACACAATATAATATGGAATTTAAGCAAACCATTTGGAGCCTGTGCTGGCGAAGCTACTCAGCAGCGCCAGTAGCTTGGAAGCTACTCAGCATGCACAGGCTACTCAGCTTGGCAGCTGAGGATCGTTTCAGGACGCGTTGTTTGTTTCACATGCCCATATCATACAGAAGTGAAACCTCCAAGGTTGGATCCCAGAATCGCTTTGGCTTTTGGATGTTTTCTAAAGCCATCGTTTTGGAATGCTTTGGGAGGTGATGGTCCACGGGTTTCCTGCAAAAGTGGGGGCCGCGTACAGACCGCCTTGACGCCGGACGACACCGGTCGCTCGCCTCTTTTCCGGCATCGGAGGTGAAGTCGCCCACCGTGCTACAGCTCTCGGCGGGAACCGTGTTGCCCTGGGGCGAGAAGGTGCGGTCCGGGTTGGCCATCGAGAAGGGGCGGGCGGGCGGGAAGCGGTCGACAGAAACTGCGGATCAAAGGATCTTGTGTTTGGTTTTAAGTTGTTTTGCATGAAACTACTGAACAGATTCTGTTTGTCCTTTCGTTTGAGATCGTTACTCGGTGATGTGCTTTTTTTGGGACCTGACGGATGTTGGAAATACGGTCTGGTCCGATGAGGTGTTCGCTGCAATCCATGGGATGAGGTGTTTGACATACCCCCTGACTCTTGATACCTTGGATATCCTTTAACGTGTCTCAGCCTAGTGAATGATGCTTGTGTGGATGATGCTTGTGAAGACCAAAGCCAAATATATCACATATTGACATAAGCTGTTATAAATACCTTCCAAAGATCTGATCTGTGCAGTCAGCAAAAAAGACAACCGTCACAGAACTGCAGAAATTGAAGCTTCTTGGCACTGCGACAACGGAAAAGCGCCCAACAAAAGAATTTTGATGGTGGTTGGCTGGAAGGAAAGACGTCCTGCTGCAGCCACCTGTCGTGCACGACACGTGCCGCAGCACGGGGACCACCCTCGCTCCTGGATCGTTTTGACTCCACCACCGCCCTGGCACATCCTTGGAAAGGGCATTTGGGGCGGAGATGGTCAAGCCTTGAAGGATGTTGGTAGCCACAGTGGGAATTGTACCCATTGGTCAAAGAAGCTGCTAGCAGGGGTCAGGGACCCCAACGTGCCCCAACCTTCCGCATCTGTACCATTCTCCTACCCCTTGACTGCGTACTTCAGTAGAGCTTCGGAGGGCAACCAACCATTTGACATGTCCATGAATCCCTGCAAACATGTGGGCTGGTAGAATCCCAAGCAGGTGCATCATACATACATTCAACGTGCTGGCTACATACAGTAGGTGAAAGAAGGTGAACATTGAAGTTGTTTCAATATCATCCTCTTGGTTTTCTGGGTCAAGCCAAGGCGCAGATTGAACATGCAACATCGAGAAACATATTCACATGAAAACACGGTCTCCAGGTCACAATGCAACAGATTTGAGACGCGTCTCCACAAAGATAACCATCAAACCTGTTGCTCCAGATCATCTAACCATCCAAGCTCTTCTTCAAACTCATGATCCTCCCCTCCCCGTCTCCCAGGCGCATGGAGATGCCACCATAGTAAACGGCTCGGTTCATGGATTGGGCCGGGTAATACATGAAGGCCGACCAGCACATCTCGGTCCTGGGCTCAGATGTCATGTTGGATCCCTGTTTTAGCCTTTTTTCCTATATGTAATATATACTATACTATACTCGGTTTTATTATATACGCTGTCTTACACTATACTCTGTTTTACTATATACTCTGTTTTCTTAATACGTTCTTTTTTTTCTATGTTTGATGTCCTGTTGTTCTTATATACTCTTCTCTACTATACTCCACTCACTCCTAGTGCGTCGCTGCAGCGGGGCACTGGGTGAAGTCGCCAAACGTGGTGGGACCGGTGCGTGTGCTGGTGTCATAGGTGCAGGACAGAACCAATTGATCACCTGCCGTTCCGAGTGCCGAGTCCGGACGGGTCCGGTGATTTGGAGTGAAGGTAGGACCCATGCCATGGGGACGGATCCATGCCATCGATCCACAAGAAACCTGGAAAAATTCAACGGTGAGGTGTGAACAAACACGTTTTTTATAATATATAGAGTCATACCAAAGCAGTGGATCCCGACTGGGCCCTACAGTCCCATGGATGTATTTGACTCTTCCAGTCCCTTGGGTCTGGGGACTGCCATGGGTCATATCAAAGACATGCCGCAAGGAAAACCACCTCTATGGCACGGGCACGGTCACATGAACCAAACACAGCAACCTCCCTGCCAGGTCGACGGACCGAGACGGTCGTTGGGTCACCAAGGGGACGAAGAGGTCGTCCAGCTTCGTTTCTCCCGAAGAATCCCATGGCGACTGGAGACCTGCCCATCCAGTTGGGGTTAATTTGGAATCAGAGGTTCTTTCTCAGGATTTACATGAGACTGTTCTTGTTTTTCCAATCCTTTTGATGCTCCGGGCATCAGGATGGACCGCCGCGCGGGCGGTCCAGCCCACCGGAAGCACCGGAACTGTGTCGGACGACGTGTGTCATCTGATGTCGGTCCCAAACAGGGAGACTGGTCAGGTCTGGAGTATGTACTCGATCCAAGAGCTTTGACTGGGAGGTTTTAGTGACCAGCTATTGTCTGGCCGAAGCTGTCTTGGTTTAACAGCGGAATCGGATCAAGGTGTTGATGTTCATGCTGAACCTAAGGTGGAGGTCTTTGGCCTTCTTCAGCTCATCTTCCACAACCAATGTTTGGTGTTTCTTTCGAAGAAATATTGGGCTTGGCGCCGCTCCAGGCACTGGGACCTGACCTGTGACCCCCCCCATTCATGATCAAACAGGACCGGTCTCAAGTTAGTTCTGATAAGTTAACCCTCCTCCCAACATCATGTAGACTCCAGGCCAGAGGTTTGATAGCATGTTATATCTTCCAATTGCGAAGAAGAAGTGATTCATGGTGATCAGTGATCTTTTGGCTGATTTCATGTGCTTTACTAGATCCCCAATTCCGCTCCGTTCCATCGCTTGCCACGCTTGCTCCTCGCCTGCGAGCACCGCTCGCTCCCCGTCCTCTTCCCGTCCTCTCGGCCCCAACGGGCCCCGCCTCTCTTGATCTTGGACACCGAGGCTGGCTCCAGGGATTGATGATTGAAGTCATAGAGCTTCCTCCGTCGACGGACCCCTCGAACGCCAGATCGGAGATCGGAGATCGACCTTTTCGTGAGAGATGAGAGGAAGAGAGTGATGAGATGAATATGATTGGGAAATATTGGGAATCAGGATATATATGTTTCAGTGGAGCCGCAAACGAAGCAGTTCATTTTCAGGTGGATGTCCAGGTCCTGCACGAAACTCCTTAAGGCTAAACCATCGCTCCGAGGGGGTTCCTCACTCTGATGCTTCTGTATGAAGCGTGGGGAGGCAATCAGCGAACTCGTCGCCAGCGAAGGCTGAGCCTTCGTGCGTTTCAGCGGCTGCTTGGGGTTTCGGCCATCCTTTTGGGAGGCACTACGCCAAACGCAAGTGTTGCGCAAAACAGTTCATCGCTTGAAATGGCTGAGAGATCCAAGTCAAATACTATGCACCAGTCCCAAAGAAGGTGATGTAGGTCGGTTCAATATGGTTTCCTTGATTTCTACTACATAAATACACATATGACCCACCCCAAAACCGGAGTGCTCATGGGTCCAAGTGGAATTGATCTGACACATGAGAGAATTGCCACAGGGACCTCCTTCGGGACAAGGCCACTTGAGGCCGTGACCTGCCCTTGTTGAGCTGCACAGGTCATTCTGGGAAGGCCAGTCAAAAGCCCTGGGAAAAGAGCAGGGACATCGCAACACTGCCCGACCCTGCTAAACAAAAAACGCTTTGTTGGCTGTGGACCGTGGAATAAAAAGTGAAGGTCCCTCCTTCTCATCTTCGGAGTTCCAAACTGATTCATCCATGCCCACATGTCAATTCCCTTCGCTTCTCGGACCACCACGCTCCGGTGATGTCCACTTCGCAGGAAATCCACGGGACCTGGTCATCTCTTTCAACGAACAGGTCGACCGTCCCGTCTCACCCAGTTCAAATCCCCAGTCAACCGACCCAACTGTTCGGGTCTCACCAGGTCCACCGGTGACAGGTGGAGGACCGAGCGTCTCTCGCCGCAGCTTCCCCACGAGCTGATCGCCTGTTCGGCCGAGGGGCGGCGGAAGCGGAAGCGGAAGCGGGGTGTTCCAGCAAAAAAAGTCCAAACAATGCTTAAATAGGCTTAGCCATGTTTCGTTTAAGTTGAGTTGTTCATGTGGTTGTCCTGCTTCGACGTTTGCGATCAGTTTTTCTTCCAGGTAGGTCCCCCCATGTGTTTAGTCCAACACATTCTTTGCATGTTATGGAGCTCACATTGAGCTGACACCCACCAAATCTAAGAAAACACGGGAGGTCAGCTACGTACTTTCGTGGGGCTCAAACATGCATTTAACCCCAAAAAGACCACAACTCCTGGATCTTCCCAGTGATCGTTTGATCCCCTGGGCCCTTAGGGTCACAAACAGGACTCCAAAAGGATCAAAGGTCCTGGGTCACTAACACCAACCCCTGCGTCGAATCCAGACCTCCACCGGAGCGAGCGCAGCGAAAACAGCGAGCTTCAGCGGAGGAGCGGAGGAGCTCCGTCATCCGAATCCATCGAAAGATGCAAGCGCTGCATGAGGTCCCCCCATGTCCCACATGTTGATTTCAGGGCTTCCTGATGTTTCCTGTCCCTTTCCCTATAGGGATGGTCTTTGGTAGAAATGAGTTGGAAAGGTCGGAGCTCATGGAGATGAAACATGGTCCTAGACCCTGAGGGACAATCTTCCACATGCTTGGCAAAAACTCCCTTCTGGTGCGGCAAGCTGTTCTGGTGTGGAGAAATGAGAGCTGTAATTGCCTCACGTCTGTCACATTGAACTTCTTCCACTGCCTGGAAATGTCGGCAGGTTTAACCGGAGTGCCGAGAAATGTGAGCTTTTTGGTGGCTCAAGGATCCTTCAAGGATCCTTGGATTTGGTTCCCTACGCTTACCCCCATTAGATGGCAATCAGCAAAGAACTGATGGATTCCCATGAATTCCCTACACCCGATCTGAATCCGGGTCCACCGCCTCAAGTCACGTCACACCGCCTCAGGTCCCGGCCCGGGCGAACGAACGCGGACGTTCACCGTCGTTTCGCCTCGCATCACATCGATGTTCAAGTTCTTGCCCACGAGGTGTGCGTGGTAGACCTGGTGTGCAACCCGAGAACGCTCATGTTGGACGAAACGAAGAAGGTCTATATACCTGCGTCTTCCAGTGGTAGTACTTATTTTGCCTTTAAGAAAATAAATGCCTTTGGAATCAAGAAGGATGAATTTTTGCCTAGAGGCAAGATTTGCAAAAAGCACATTTCAACCGGAATGTGACCACTGATGGCCCTTTTATTGGGTAGAATGATCCGATCCGATCCCATCCCTTCTTCGCCGCCTGCCAGGCTGCATCCAGCCACTCTGGTTCGACGTGATCCCAAATCCCACATGAGCTAATGTCAGGTTGAACAATCGCTGCTTCACTCCCAAGTTTCAAAGGGCGCTTGCAGCCATGCATCAACCAAACCACTACTACAGTGGTAATACGCACCGAACACTTCATAGGATATTGTAGGACCAGCTTTTTGAACAAAACAAAAACTCTATTGGCCGCCATGCGTGGTGAAGCAGCGACTCCATGAAGGTTGGGAGGCATGGGCTCTCACCTGATGCAAGCCTGCTTTTCTTCCCTCAAGCTGAAACCATGGAATGTCTTTGAGAGAATCATGTGGAGCAGATCTTTGCAAGCGCTTCTTTGAAACAATAATTCTAAAACTATTTGATATATGCTCCGCTCAAGATTCTCAAGTTCGCAAGCTACTACTCAACGGCTTGGCAGGTGTCTCCACTGGGTGCTATTCGTGATCATTCTTGTCATTCAGGCTAGCCTGGCCAAAGTTAGCATGTGCCAATGCAAACTATGCCCTGCAGTAGGCATGTTTCCTAACCTAAAGGCAAAATAAGTATACCACTGGAAGACGTGGGTGCATGTACCACCTTCTAAGACTGTGAGCTGCATGCCGATGACAAACAGCTTTGATTGCCGAAGCCGTTTTTCATCCATTGCAGCTCGATCAGCACTCAGCGAGCGACCTGCGGCTGGAGATGGAGACCATTGAAGAAGGACCCGTGACTCTAGCCGAGAAATGGGAGGCCAATCGCCATATCCGAAACCGGATCCGATCCAAGGGTATGCTCGTTGTGTGGCCTAAACCTGAGCTCGTTGGAAAGCCGACCATGGCTTCCATATCCTTGAACATCCACGCCCTTCGTATTTTGGCAGAGGATTGGTGCCCCAAGCAATCTGGGCCTAAGAGTCCTAGTGTTCATGCAGTGAGGAAGGAGGTGGGGAGTGCATGTGGCTCCATGGATTGGTTGCGCTTATTCGTATATTCATGTCACCATATTACATCAGCCGATTTGGGTCCATCATGGTCCATAATATTTTATCACTGGTTGATGTTGATTAATGTGAAAAATGTGTTGAAGGTTTAAGGGTTAGGGGCCAACATGCGCAACATGCCCCTGTTCAGGTCGCAGCTCTACGTGCAATCTTTCAGCTTCCAAACGACCCTGCAATTCTCCATGCAGATGCCTGGGGGTTGAAGAAGTTGTTCAGCTACGGGGTTCGGAGATCTGGAGCAGACAAAGAATCTTCCTCAAGCCCGATCCGACGAGAGCCTTAGCTCCTTTGTATGTGGTCTTTGTGTTTTTTGTCTTTTACATTCTTTTCAGTTTTGAAAATGGTGTCCGGGTTGGAAGTTGGCGTGCCCACTCCCAGGATGCTGCCGTGAACCCCTTCTATGAAGTGATCTATTCCTTTTGGAGTGTGAGGTTGAAGCCAGAACATGCCATTGAGATCTTCGTTGTGGACAGCGGTGACGAGGAGAGTGATTTCAGTGCTTTCATGACTGTGAAGTCGGATCCTTATGGCATGGCCAGTCCTGGGAAAAACTCAAAGGTGGGGAGTGTCAAACAAGCAAACATCGATCAACTTAACATGTTGAATTTTCTCTTGGGCTGGCTTCAAAGAAGCGTTTGCAGGGGATGGGCGGCCTTATGATGTGTTTGGCTGTGTGTTCATGGACACCTCACAAGGGACCCCTTCAACATGGCACCTCCCAAAAGTAATTATGTGCAAAACCTGTTGGGTTTTCAGGGCGTATGGTTCACAATGGCTAGGCGAAGTCCCCCATCAGGTGAAGAGCCAGCTGAAAGTGGAAGATGCCTCGCTCAACCATGATGATAGCGACTGCCAACTGGTCATGATGGAGCCAGTGAGTTCTCTTGAAACACCTCAGAAACAAGCAGAGGAAGGGCTGGCTCAACCGCCTGTGACTTCTGGGCTCTCAGTTGCTGAGATGATGGAGAGGGCGAAAAAAGTACGGTTTCTTGTTTGAGTCTCTTACAAGATTTTGCCTTTTGAGAACATAGAGAAAATAGTGGGCCGCATGTGGCATTGCCACTGGGGAAGTATTGAGCTGCAGGTGTCTTCTTGCCAAGAGGGCTGCTGCCAAAGCTGTGGGCGATACTGCCGACACACAGCCGCTGGATGCAGTGTCTTTCAAAGCTTTGGCGGAGTCATACCAGCCACCAGCACTGCCACCTGTCAAGCGCTTTGAGGAGACTGACGACCATGTGCTGCAACGCTCCTTGCAGACAGAGTTTGGGCGGGCTGATGCAGCAGGCTGGCTGGCTCAAATAGTCTTAAGTTTGTGCGTGGGGGTGCTCACGAGCGCATGGGTGTTTAAAACCAAAGGGGTGCACACAGTTTCATGGATGTTCAAATAGACCTCTGCCCTAGGCGAAGCTGAGCCTTTGCAAGGTGGCCATATGTCAGTTGCAGGGCGGATCATTGCTGGCCAGCCGCCGGTGGAATGTGAGCAACTTGATGAGAAGCCATCCATGGACATTGCGGAGAGCTTGCCTGCGCCTGGCTCTGACCTTGAGGATCCGTATGACTTCTTCAACAAGGATTCCGGACATGCTAGTAGTGAGGATTTGGAGAGCTCTGCTTCTGTTCAGGGCAATGCCGAGGCTGAAGTTCTTTCAATGTCAGCAGAGCCTGTGATTGGAAATGAAGTCTTTGATCCACTTGCCCATTCCCAGCCGGGTTCTACTGCCATTGTGGATGATGAACCATTGGCACCTTCTGCCATTGCTGAGGGCGAAGAACGTCATTCCGGTGCCCCACTCGAAGCCATTGCTGCTGACTCTGATGATGCAATGCCTTGTGCTGAGGTCCCTGACCCGTGTGAAGAACAGGAAGAAGCTTCAGTTTGTGCCAAGCAAGCCAGCTCTGGCCATGCTGGTGCGCCTTCCGCTGTCACTGAGTCTGAGGCTCCAAGCTCTTCAAAGGCTGAAGAGAGTGGTCAGTTTGGAGCAGAAGATGGTGAAGACCTTCCAGAACCCGAGCCAGTGAGCAGGAAAAGCCAATTCGAGTTGAAGAAGGAGGTAAAACCCAAGGCGAAAGCCAAGGCAAAGGCTAAGTCCAAAGCCAAGGCTCAGGCCAAGAGGGCATGTGCCAAGCGTCGTGGTCGACCAGGTCGAGGGCATGCGTGTGAGAAGGCGGATGCTGAGATGGTCAACCTGTGCTCTGATGCTGAGGATTTGGAGATCAAGGCCGAGGAGACCGAGGAGCAGGAGGAACAGCCCAAGGCCCCAAAGCCCAAGCGTCAGGCGAAGCGAAAGGCGGAGGCGCTTCCAGCGGTGGCAGAGGAGGACATGGATGATGACAAAGTTGTTTGGGGACCTGTTTCAACACAAGGTATATAAGACTTTGAAAAACATTGGACGGCCCAGGACCAGAACATCAAGAAGCAGTCCACGGTTGACGCGGAGGACAGGGACAAGCGTGGTGGCATTGAGGAGCAATGTCAACAGCAAGAGCCAACTGGTGCTGATGCTGCGCCTCGGAACGCCTTGAAGAGCTTTGCGCGCCGCCCGTGCCCCAAAACATCGCCAGCAAAGGAGAGATGGCTTGCTGTTCGGGACGTGTTTGAGAGCGCTATCAAGCCAATTCTCGAGGAGGTGGGTTTCAAGACTTCTCCTGTAGAGGCAAGGTTTTGAAACTAGTGTTCTCCTTTCGGCGTGGCTGTTTGATAGGGGTTGTGATTACAATTTGTGGTCTTCGAATTTGCTTTGCTAGGTGAGCAGTTACCATAGCCAGTGTTATCCTTATAAGGTGTAGAGGTGTTCCATTCTAAACCATGCAAGGTTGAGTGGTGGGAGTGGTGCACCGCTGCCTTTGAAAAGGCCAACTACCAAAAGAACAAGGACCCATCAGGAGACTCGGATGCCCTGTTGGAGAAATTCAAAGGCATTACCAACGCTGAGCTCAAACCCTTCCTGGAAGAGGCTTGCTTGATAGAGATGTTGAACTGAATCTCTGGGTGTACAGATCGGCTGTAGCATGTGGCATTCTTACCATCTTTTTTGCACCATTAAACAAACACTGTAGTCTCAAAAAAGCTAGGCTGGGACCACCTTTTCACATACCCTCTATATGATGTATGTGCCGGTGGTATGAGTGTCTCACTGGAAGTGTGCGATCATTGAGGCATGGAGGGGCTGGAAAGACAGCGGATCCATGTGATCATTCAATTTGATTTTAGCTGCATGCATGTGTGTTACTTTGACGCATATGCTTGGCTAGGGCCGAGGGGGGAAATCAAGAGGTGGCGGATGGAGCATGAAGTCATCAAATCAAATTGTATTCTTCTTTGAGGGTCACCCAATGAAGTTCTACAGTGGCAGCACTGACAGGAAGAAAAACGAAACATAAAGAACAACCCGGACTGCAATTCACGGCTGCGAGTTGGGAGCGTTGTTAAACGGTTTCCCCATTTCTCAAGCGTAGGGCCCTACCATCCCAATCCTTCCCAGTCACCCCGACAATTGCCTGGGCCAGGCGATGGCGCCAAAGCTGTATGGCTTGCGGAGGGGCTGCATCAACCTGGCAAAGTTTGGTGTGCACAGAGAGTTGGCAAGTAGCGCTGGCCTGTTAGGGTTTGGGAGTTCTTGTGAGGAGACCCTGAGGCCCTTAGGTCACTAGTCACTAGAGACATCAACTGTAGAAACAAGGGCGCAGGCCCTTCATGGTTGTAGTGCATGTGTGCGTGAGCTGTGCAATGCTGTGCAGCAGTCAGTGGCTTTCCGCT